AGCGTGGAGCTGACTATGGGCCTCGGGAAAGTTTGCCTGGCAGAGGCCATGTCCTGACTGGCTGGGGCTCTGTGTGCCCAGGTCACACCTGTCCCCTGAGGCCTGTGTGAGGGGACTGAGGTCGGGCGTCAGGAGGTCCCGAGTAGCCACAGGGTCATCCAGGGCACCAGTGGAGTTGGGAAGTTCACCGTCTTTCTTATGGGTGTCCTAGAAGATCCCAGCAAACTGAGCTTCGAAGAAGAAAGGCTGGGGGTGAGGGTCTCCAACATACATGAGATAAAAACAGTCACCTGCATCTCCACAGCTGTGACCCACCTGCTTCAGTGACCTTGAAGGGGAAGGTACCATTAGCCTCAGCTGCTGAAAAAGTGACACTTTTATGGCCAAGACTTGGCCACCCAGCCCATCACCTTGGACTCACCTGGGGTTTTCCATCCTGCATTTCACCCTCGGATCAAGCCATTTTTTCTGTTTTCTTTACTCTGACTTGGGGAAGAAGGAAGATATTTTTTTTGAAAAAAATCCTTTGAACTTCTTGCAACTTGAGTTTTAAACTTGCAGAAGGATGCAGTGCCGTGGCCTAGGCTTCCTTCCTTCCTCTCGCTGATGCCCTGTGTGCACAAGCCACAAAGACAGGCCCAGACCCTGCCGGGCAGCCCGGCGCAGCAAGCCCTAGGAAGGCATCGCTGTGGCAGGTACCACAGCTCCTGAGGTGGCGCCTGGCTCAGCAGTAAATGCCTTTGTAAGCCACACACTCTCCTGTGGAAGAGCTGAGGTGGAGGACATCTTTACCTCTCTCTGCCACGGTGGACGCTCAGTACCCTGGATACAGCCTCCTGGGTTCCTCTCTCATAGGGGCCACTCAGCCCCTATGCTGGGCGGGCCCCTGGGGAGGGCGTGTTGGCCCAGCCAGCCCGACTGGCGCAGTCCCTCACCCTCACCTTTTCCATCCACCTCTCTTCACAGCTCGTGGCACCTTTCAAGAGTTACAGGTGATTGTTCTGAGCTATTGTTTACAAATTTAACCCAACATAAAGTGAATTCTAATTTGCTTTGGGAATTATCCTTCATCCACAACTAAGTCAAAGTATATTTATACTGCATGACACTACAGGACTTTCCTAATGACTGGGAGGTGCTGAACCAAGAGGTTTGCTTGAAAAGGGGGCAGGTGGCTAGGTAGCATATAATGCCCAGGCTGTTTCTTTTCCTTCGGGTGAGTAAGCTGGCCCTGCAGCAGCAAGGCTGCTGACTGCTGGTCGCTCTGTGCCAGTTCCGGGTCCCGGCACCTTGCCAGATGCCCAGCCTAGGTGATGCCTGCTATCCTGGGGAGACGCAGGGTTGGTGGCCCTGCTCCAGGGTGACCAGGCTGGCTTGCTGACAGCTGGAGCAGGGGCTCCTGTGGCTGGTGCTTGGGGCCAGAATCTGGTGTCTTAAGCTGAGAACAGGAAGCAGGACCTGCTGCAGCATGGCAGTAGCTCTGAGAAGTCTTGACCAGTGTGATTACAGAAGCAGGAAAAGACTCCAACCTAGGAAATGGTGTTTGGAGTGTGGAGGACACCCATCACCTGATAGAAATATCCTGTGCCTGCACAAGAGAAGGAGTTGGTCCAAGTCCTGAGCCACATGTGTCCCAGTTGTTTTCACCTTCAGTAGCTTTTATATTCATATAAATATTAAAGTTAGCCCTTTCATATTTGGATCATTCAAAGAGCCCCTCTTACTCTGGTTCCTGTTAACTATGCACAACATCTAGAAGATGGCATACAAAACTATTTTTCTAACTATAGCACAGGTAATTTGGGGCAGGGGAAGCTTGGAACATACCTAAATGTGGCACATGACTTATCTTCCACCCTGATGGAGGACAGGGAAACTATGCACTTGAATTTTAATTCACCATGGGATAGTTTGTGCCAGAAAGAACACACATCAATATTCAAAAAGCAAAATTGATTCTTATCTCAATTTGGGGGCTCACTGTAGGGGGAGTTACCTTGTCTGGAACACAAAACACGTGCAAGCAGAATATGAGCTGATTCTTGACAATCAGATCTCATCAACCCTTTGAAATGTTCTGGACAGCTACAACTCCTGGGTCCACATGGTTGGTGTAAGTATAAATAAGTTGTGAAATTGTACGGTATATACTTATATGCCAATAGTGTATACCTGTATGTGCGAAATTTGCTAATATAACCATTTCAATAAAAACCTATTGAAAAAGCTGATTTGGCCACATGGAGTACTTTTGGTGGTAACATGGGGACTCTCATTTGCAAGTGACAGAAAACCCAGCCAAAATTGGCTAAAGCCACTACTGGGAATGTCGAGGCTCCCAGAAGCTAAAACGCCCAAGGGTGTACCTGTGTCAGGTGTGATGTGATTTCATCTTCAAACATTGACACCAGGATACATTTGCCAACTTTGCTTCCTCTGACTAAACTCTATTCTTGGGCTGAGTGAGGTTGGGGGTGGAGGGTATCCCCATTAACATAATAGCTGTCCTGCTTCCCCAGGAGGTAGCCCCTTGTTTGGAGGCACATGGTCATCACCAGACCAGCCCCTGTGATCACAGAGATAGGCACCGATTGCCTCAGCCAGCACGGGCTGCACACCTGCGGCCCAGGAGTGCATTCTGCCTCACCTGAGGGCAGGAGCAGAGAAGTTCGAAGGCATGGTTCCCACAGCAAAGCCAGGGTGCTGCACAGAAAGGAGAAGTGGATGCTGGGGATGAAAGCAGCAAATGTCCGATATGTGTAGAAAAGAGCTTGGTCCCACCTTTGCCACGTACTAGTGTGAACTTGGCCAATCATTTCACCTGTTTGGATTTCAGTTTTATCGTTTTTGAAATAGGGATCATAAAATACCTCATAGGGTTGATATGTGGTGATTAGATTTAAAATACTGTAAGAGGCCAGCCAGGTGCGGTGGCTGACGCCTACAATCCTAGCACTCTGGGAGGCCGAGGCAGGAGGATCACTTGAGCTCAGGAGTTCCAGACCAGCCTCAGCAAGAGTGAGACCCCGTTTCTACTAAAAATAGAAAAATTATCTGGGGTCATGTGTGCATGCCTGTAGTCCCAGCTACTCGGGACACTGAGGCAGGAAGATCGCTTGAGCCCAGGAGTTTGAGGTTGCTGTGAGCTAGGCTGACACCATGGCACTCTAGCCTGGGCAATAGAGTGAGACTCTAAATGAATTAATTAAGAAATAGGCTTAATGGCATATATCTAGTATCTGAATATATAAAGAACTCTTACACCTCAACAATAAAAAGACAACCCAGGCCAGGCGCGGTGGCTCACGCCTGTAATCCAAACACTCTGGGAGGCCGAGGCGGGCGGATTGCTTGAGGTCAGGAGTTTGGAACCAGCCTGAGCAAGAGCGAGACCCCGTCTCTACTATAAATAGAAAGAAATTAATTGACCAACTAAAAAATATATATACAAAAAATTAGCTGGGCATGGTGGCGCATGCCTGTAGTCCCAGCTACTCGGGAGGCTGAGGCAGTAGGATTGCTTGAGCCCAGTAGATTGAGGTTGCTGTGAGCTAGGCTGATGCCACGGCACTCACTCTAGCCTGGGCAACAAAGTGAGACTCTGTCTCAAAAATAAATAAATACATAAATAAATAAAATGGGCAAAGGATATGAATAGACATTTCTCCAAAGAAAATATGCAAATGACCAACAAGAACATGAAAAGATGCTCAACATTATTCATCACTAGGGAAATACAAATCCAAACCACAGTGAGGTACCATTTTACACCCTCAAGAAATGGCTATCATAAAAAAAGATAATAACAAGTGTTGACAAGATATGGAGAAACTGGAGCTCTCATACATTGTGGGTAGGGTGTGAAGTGGTACAGCTGCTTTGGAGAAATTTCATGGTTGCTTAAAAAACATAGCTTTACCATATGATCCAACAATATCACTCCTAGGGATATGCCCAAGAGAATTAAAAACACAAATATCTGTACATGATATTCATGGCAGCATTATTCATAATAGCCATAAAGGGGAAACAATCCAAATGTCCATCAAGTGATGAACGAATCAACAAAGTGTGCTGTACCCATACCATGAAATATTGTTCAGCCATAAAAAGGAATAAAGTGCTGATACATGCTACAGCATGTGTGAACCTCAAGCACATTTATGGTAAGTGAAAGATATCAGACACAAAGGGCTTCATATTGCATAATCCCATTTGTATGAAATGTCCAGAATGGGCAAAATCTATAGAGACTGAAATACATGGGTGGTTGCCAGGGCCAGAGGGGGATGAGTGACAGCTAATGGTAAGGGGCTTCTTTCTGAGGTGATGAAAATGTTCAGTGGTAACAGTTGTACAACCTTATGAATATACACTTTAAGGGTGAATTTTATGGAATGTGAACTATATCTCAGAAAATAAAAGAAGCAGGCTTTGCACATGCTAAGTACACAATAAATGTTTGTTCTTCCCCTTCGTATAAAAAATAGTTCTCAAAGGGTGGTCTCCAGGTCGGCAGCATCAGCATCACCTCGTAACTTGTTAGAAATGCAGATATTCTGGTCTGTGTTTTAATCAGCCCTCTAAGTGATCCTAACGCACGTCGAAGTTTGAGAGCCACTGGCCGAAGGACCAAGCCCTTTCCTCCTCTCAGGGCGTAAACAAGCACAGCACTTCCAAATTCTTGAGGGCCCTCTCTAGAAAGCACGGTGACAAGATCAGTTTAAGCTTCCTAAGTTTGAAGGAAAACCAGCCTCTGCCTCTTGAAGGTGGGCCTCTCAGAAGACTGCGGATCTCTCTAGCTGTCTGCCCTGCTCACCTATTTCTATCATTTCCCCCAAACTCTGAACAGGTCTTTGCCAACGCGAGGCCCTGCCCTGCGGCGCCGTCAGCCCTGTGCAGGCCGGCGGGCGCGGAGGCCAGAGCCAGGCGGGCCGGCTGCGGTGCGCGCTGGGGCCGCCAGGGGGCGCCGCCCGCTCGGCCCGCCCCGCCCGCTCGGCCCCGGCGCGGCGACGGCGCTTCCGCCTGGCTGCCCGGCGGGGTGCGAGCGGCCCCGCGATGTGGCTGAGCCCGGAGGAGGTGCTGGTGGCCAACGCGCTGTGGGTGACGGAGCGGGCCAACCCCTTCTTCGTGCTGCAGCGGCGCCGGGGCCACGGCAAGGGCGGCGGCCTCACGGGTGAGAGGGGCGGGCCGGCGGGGACAGGCCGGCGGGGACAGGCCGGCGGGGACAGGCCGGCGGGGACAGGCCGGGCCTCGGGGCGTCGCCACGGCACGCTCGGCGCGCGGCGGGGTCGGGGGCGGGAGGCCGGGGGCGGGAGGCCGGGGGTGCCCGGCGACGGGGAGGGCGGCGGCGACGGGGAGGGCGGGGAGGGCGCGCGGGGCCGCGAGCCGCGGGGCGGAGGCAGGGCGCTCGGCGGGCTGAGGGGCCGACCCAGGGCAGCCTCTGCCGGGTTTCGGCGCCCGCGGGCTCCGAGCGCCCTGCCAGGCGTGTGCGGCCCTGGAGTCGGAGCTCACAGATGAAGTTAGCGAGCTCTCCTGGCCGCTTCCACCACCTCAGTTTCCCCAGGTGCCTCTCGGGCCAGGTGACACAAGCACACGTTTTCTTTTGCCCCCTTCTTCATGCCCAACTCACCAAAGAATTGCCCCTTTAGCAAGATCAGAGGTCCCAAAGCTGACCTCTCCTCCCCCACCTTTCCTGCCTCTGGTGTTCCTGGAGCTGCCAGCCCACGTTGTCACCAGCACAGCGTGTTCCCGGAGCTAGGGAGCTGGCCAAGGCGCCCCTTTGCACGTCTGGGTCCCCCTACTCACAGGGTGAGGCTGGACAGGCACCCCTGGAGTTGTGTGGCACATGAGATCCAGGGAAGGCCACTGGATGCCGCCACAGGTGTGGGCACAGGCCCAGGCTCGGGCCTGTGTGGACGGGCAGGAGCATAGCTGGCCCTGAGGGGAGGCACCAGTGCACGTGCTCCTGGGGACCTGATTGTTTCCCTACAGGAATGTGGGTCCGGTGTGGTCACATCTTCCAAATTATCCAGGGAATTTTATGTGAAATGTCCTGATTTCCAATATTAGCAGCTAACATTGTCTTGCCAGAGGCAGACAGGGCCTTCCCATGGCTGACTTCTGCCACCAGTCTTCTGGGGTGCACCTCTTAATGTGGATGAGACTGTCCCATTTCCAAGAAAACTCTGCGTTCTCTCCAACACCTCAGGCTCCTTCCCAGTGGGCCTCGTGAGTCCATGCTAGACCTGCCCTTCCAGACCCAGCTGTTCAGTGGGAGTTAGACAGCAGCCCCTTTGGGGAGTTCCATGGTCAACTTCAAAGTTACTGCAAGCCCACTGGGTAAGGCAGGTACAGGGTGACCAGGGCCGAGTGTTAACACTGGCATCCCAGTGCGTCAGATCTGGCTGGTGTGTTTGTGTAGGTCATCCCGGTGCGTGGTGGGTAGCTGCAGGTGCAGCTGACCACTGTTCACTTCCCTCTCCTGAGCCAAGAAGGGCCCCCTGCAGGCTCTTTTCCTTTCCCCTTGTTCATCTCTGTCCCCTAAGACTGAGCTCCCAGGGGCCCTCCAGGGAACCATTCCTTGAAAACCCTCAACCTCCACACAGCAGGCATGTCCTGCTGTGGCCTCTGCCATGGCCTTCCGTGTGGCATCATAGGCATCATGGCCTCCTGGGCACTGTCCCCCTAGGAGAGGAAGAGCCAGTGATGCGGTTTTATTCAAGCCAGCTTTTAAACACATGCCAATCTGGACTTTTGATTAAGAGTCTGAGTGTGAGGAGATGGTTGGCTCATTAAAAAGCTTTCAAGTTTGTACCAATCTTATCACAAAAAAGAAAAAGAAAAATAATTAAAAAGCTTTCAGGTCTTGTGACATGGGTATGCCAACAGTTTACAGACTCTACAATGAAATTTCCAAGACCAGAAGAGAAACTCCAACATGAATAATGAAAAAGAGTTTATTCCAAACATTGATAAAGCTTAAGTATTCCCTTTTTTTTTTTTTTTTTTTTTTTTTTGAGACAGAGTCTCTCTTTGTTGCACAGGCTAGAGTGAGTGCCGTGGCGTCAGCCTAGCTCACAGCAACCTCAAACTCCTGGGCTCAAGCAATCCTTCTGCCTCAGCCTCCCGGGTAGCTGGGACTACAGGCATGCGCCACCATGCCCGGCTAATTTTTTATATATATATATCAGTTGGCCAATTAATTTCTTTCTATTTATAGTAGAGACGGGGTCTCGCTCTTGCTCAGGCTGGTTTTGAACTCCTGACCTTGAGCAATCCGCCCGCCTCAGCCTCCCAAGAGCTAGGATTACAGGCGTGAGCCACCGCGCCCGGCCCTTTTTTTTTTTTTACAGCTTAAGTATTTTAGAACATTTCAGTAATATCTCACTTGTTTTTCAGTAAAACACTGAAACACTGTTTTTACTGAAAAACAAGTGAGATATTACTAACTTCTGAATTAGATATATGTAAAGAGTATCTTCTTTAGTAATCATTCATTTTATTTATTAAAGACTGGAGAAAAAATCAGATTAAATATAATGGACTGTGAAACGAGTGTTAAAATTGAGTAATAAAATCAATATAAATTGTTCTGATATCAACAGGGAAATGGTAACAAAATATTTTCAGATCACACCAAAAGCAGCACTTCATTAAAAGGAAGAAAAAATTCAAAGAAGAACAATGAACAGGTTTTTAGATTATTTGATAATTCAGTTAATGAAGAGAAGTGAATCAAACAATGGTAAAAGATATATTTTGTACTGATTTCTGGGGAAGTAGTGACACTGACAAAGATAACAGACCATAACTGGGTACTTGTCGTCAATCCAAAGGGTATCCGTGGTGAGAAGAAAAACTCAAAGTGCTCTAAAACTCGTCAGTTCAGAAATGAAAAAAAATCAGTATTTTCCCAAATTTGGCAATTCTGAAAATTTATATGTCCTTTGAGTCATGACTTTTGAGGCTTGAAGAAACTACTTTAAATTTTCAATAATAAAAAATTGCAATCCCTTGGCAGAAGAAAGATTATGTTCTCTTTCTGTTCTTGATATGGAAAATGATGCCACAAAATCATTGTCCTATGAAGAAAAAATCAGAGTACACGGCCAAAAATATCAGGGGAAGACATATTTTAGGAGATGTTAATAAAATATGTTGTGTTATTTTTTCTGGATTTTGTGATATTTGTGGTACTGTTCCTTTTTTGTTTTAATTTGTAACTATTGTACTTTCTCATTCTAAAGAAATACTTGTTTTTGAACCTAATTTTGAAGTGTTCTTAAAGAAGTCCTCTCAGATCCTCTTAGTTTTGGCTCTGTACAACCCGCATCTGCCCCTGCCTGCAAGTGTTTCTGAGCAAACCCAGCCTCTGGGAAGAAGTAGCAGGGGATTTTTGTGATAGGCATCTGGTTGAAGCCTGTGGCCATGGGGGTGACTCGAGGTGTTTTCCTCCCTGGGTTGGTCACCATCCCTGTTGCCTCCAGCCAGGCTCAGCCCCCAGGGGCCCCTTAGCACTGCCCTCCCCTCACCCTCTACCTGTCTCTGCCCTGCTCCCAGGTCTTCTCGTGGGTACCCTGGACGTGGTGCTGGACTCCAGTGCTCGAGTGGCCCCTTACCGCATCCTGCACCAGACCCAGGACTCACAGGTCTACTGGACCGTGGCATGTGGTAGGTGCCCGGAGTAGTCAGGGGGTTGGGCATGGCTTGCCTGTGTGCCTGGGCAGTGTTGCCTGCTGAGGGCCTGGTGGGTGCTGCCCCCAGTTCAGAGAGCACGGCCCTGGCCAGCAAGAGGAAAGCAGGGGAGCCATGGTTTAGGAAGGCTGCTTTGCTGGTCACAGGGACAGGGCAGGCAAGGGCAGCCCTATGGAGCCACATGCCTCTGAGGGCTCAGGCTTGAGGTTCATCAGTGCCCATGTTCTCATGCCCACCTTTTCTCAAGGCAGATACAGTCAGGCCTCATTGTTTCAGGATGCCATATTTCAGGCCGGGCGCGGTGGCTCACGCCTGTAGTCCTAGCACTCTGGGAGGCCGAGGCGGGCGGATCATTTGAGCTCAGGAGTTTGAGACCAGCCTGAGCAAGAGCGAGACCCCGTCTCTACTGAAAAAATAGAAATTAGCTGGACAACTAAAAACATATGTGTGTGTGTGTGTGTGTGTGTGTGTGTGTGTGTGTGTGTATAAATAAATAAAATTAGCCGGGCATGGTGGCGCATGCCTGTAGTCCCAGCTACTCGGGAGGCTGAGGCAGGAAGATCGCTTGAGCCCAGGAGTTTGAGGTTGCTGTGAGCTAGGCTGACACCACGGCACTCACTCTAGCCTGGGCAACAGAACGAGACTCTGTCTCAAAAAAAAAAAAGGATTCTACATTTCAAATTAATCTATTCGTTAAAATATATTTATATATTTGTAACACCCAAATCAATACTCCTGGTGCTTGTGTGGTCATTTGGGACCACTTGTGGGCATGTGCATGCACAGAGCAGTGAAAAATTAAGTCCCTCAATACCAGTGTCCCCAGCTGAGGTGGAAGGAGGGTACATCCTGCCTTCCTGTGTCAGTTCTCAGGCTGTAAGGAAGTGTCCTCTCATGGTCTATTTAGTGCCATGTTTTTCATATTTTTGAGCTTTTTCTTGGTAATTTCGCTGTTTAAAATGGCCCCCAACATAGTGCTGAAGCACTGATGTTCCCAAGTGCAAGAAGGGTGCGTTGTGCTCTACAGAGAAAATTCATGTTTGATAAGCTGCATTCAGGTATGAGTTATAGTGCTGTTGACTGTGAGTTCAATGCTAATGAATCAACAATATATATTAAATAAGGTGTCTTTTATCCATCTTAATGACAACAAAGAAAATAAGATGTCTTTAAACAGAAACATACATAGAGCAGTTATGTATTGATCAGTTGACAAAAATGTGACCACAGGCTCACAGAAACCTGATCCTGTGTTTCCCCTGGGGTGATAGTTCAGTGTTCTGGGAACTTTGTAGAATATAAGTACCATGAATAATGAGAATCCCCTATAGTCCTCCTTGGAGGAAGTGTACCCACTCTTCCCTGGATTCCCTTTTTGGAGGCTCCAGAGCTGAGGTTGCTCTGATAATATGACAGTCTCAGATAGCACTTCTATGTGCCAGGCGCCCATCTGCATCTCCTGGCAACTCCTGAAGGCATATGTGCTTTGGTCTTCTCTATTTTGAAGATGAGGAAACTCTGGCCCAGAGGGGTTAAGTGACCTGCTTGAAGTTGCACAGAGTTGCAGTTCAGACCCAGAGCCCCTGTTCCCAGCTGCTTTGCTGAATACTTCTCTGGACTAGAAGCCACAGTGTCCTTGTCCTCCAGGATAATGTCTTTCTTTGAGGCTTGGGAAAAGATGACAAGACTCAAAATTCTTCCCCAGCCTCAGGAAGGGAGGGGCCAAGGGAGTAAAAGCACAGGCGGGCAGACCTCAGGAAGCCACTCTGCCCCCGGGCAGTTTGCCCCGGCACCCCAGGGTGTATCCTCCCACTGTAGGGTCCAGTAAGCCTAATAAGGGTCAGAAAGGGGAGTTTGCCCAACAAATGGGAAAGCCCAGTAGGACTTCCTGATCTCCTGGTTCCAGAGCCTGAGTGGGTGCTGGGCAGCAAGGATTTGCCCCCAGGAAGAGGGGCTTCCTGTGGGGTGGGGCCATCCCTGAACAGGCTGAGGAGGTCAGTGTGTGCTTAGAGATATGCATCTCTGTCTCCACAGTGTTCTTTGGTTCTTGGGCAGGGGGCAGGGAAGGATGTCGGCAACAGCTGCCCCTCCCTGGGGAGGGAAGAGCTTGTGGTAGAGAGTGGGAATCCCTTTGGTCACAGTGGGCCTGGTGCTAAGGGGAGGCCTGGTCACAACCACACTGCTGAGCACCAGTCCATGGCCTCTGGCCACACACCTGACCTCCCCTACCCCTGCCAGCCCCAGGCTGGGACTCAGAAACAACTCACCAAACCAGACACGGACCTGCCAGTATCTGCCCAGTGAATCCTGACCCTGGAGCCTAGTGTCTAAGGACTCCAGGAGTCTGCTGTCTCCATTTCTGGCCTCGTCTGCCCAGTGTACACCCTGGCCCTCAACCAGACTATACCCCTCCTGGCTCTATGCACAGTGTCCCTCCAAGTCCACCTAACCTTTGTTCCCATTCTGTTGAGAACTTACTCAGACATCACCTCCTAGGAACACCATCCCAGACTCCCCAAACCTGTGTGCCCATCCTTCCTTCTTACTCCTCTGGGCTTGGCATGTCTCTACACTGAAGTCTTTCCCATTAGGCTAGGAGCTCCCGAGGGCCAGGGCTGGCTCTGCAACTAGGCAGCCTGGGAGGGTTAGGGTTCTGGTTTGGTCACCTCCCAGCTGTGTGGCCTTGGGTAACTACCTTCACCTCTCTGTGCATCAGCTTCTTCCTGTAAAATGAAAATAATAGCACCTGTCTCCAAGGGGTTCTAAGAATGAGAAATCCATGGAAAATTCTGAAAACAGAAGTAGCACTTAATCAAATTAGCTATTATATTCCTTTCCCCCCCCCCCAGTTCCTAGCATAGAGATGGCATAGTTTCCTTAGTATTAACTGAAGACTGAGTTACTTTTAACTGTAATTCTCTTAAATGCACATTCGTAAACATTTATAATTAAAGTACAGACAGGTCTACATAGGCAGTGTGGGGAAGATTTCTTCTGTTTTAGTTTGCCAGGAATGTATATGTAAGAGAAAATGATACAGTAGAATTGCATCACTTGTAAATTTTAATTCCAAATTCAACTATGTGTTCTTGGCAAAAAGAGAGAAACAAGTTCTTCCTCCTACCGACTAGATTTTGCCCTCTGTGTACCAGAGAGGGAGACCATAATAGAAGTGCAAAGAAAAATGAAAAAAGAAGTTAAAGTTCACTTGTGGATGATTTAGGGGCTTCCAGGGCGCTCCTGATGGCCTGTGGTGGCTTGCCGGAGCTGTGTGGTCCTGGGTTCAGTCGCTTGCACCCTCCCCAGTCTCATCAGAGGAGAGTCTTTCCTGTGGAGTTGCTTGTCGGGCTAGGGAGCCGCTTGAGGACATGTAAAGAAACAAATTAACCCCATCCAGGACCGACCAGGCCGTGACAGGGCAGTGAGCAGGCGCTGTGGTCTGGAGCAGGTGGCAGGCCAGCGCAGCCCGGCCAGGCAGGGTCAGGGCCTGAGTCTTGAGCTGCAAGAGAGTTTTGTCAGGTAGGGAATGATGGGTGGTCGGGGCTGGCACCCAAGGAAAGATGTCAGATACACAAGCACACTGGACTTGTTTCTTGGCTGGGTCTCCCTGCATGTCTGGTGGGCTCAGGGCTGGCTGGGCCTCCTGGGGGCTCATGGTCTGCAGACTGTCCCACTCCAGGACAGCTGAGAACAACGCAGAGTATTCACTCCTCTTCTTATTCTATGTGCACTCGTTCAAAAAACAGTTCTTGAGTGCAAACCCCATGCCAAGCTCATGCAGAACCCCAAAAAGTGGGGTGACGGGCAGGGGGAGCCAGGCCAGGCAGAAACCTCTTCTCATCCCTTTACTCTTACCCTGCGACCCCTTCCCTTATTCCCTGATGGGAGCAAACAGTTCTTGGGAGTGGCGTTGTGCTGCCCTCTCTATTCTTTCCATTTTCACTGGGTCTGCAGAGGACAGGGGCCCCCTCCTCATTGAGGCAAACGCTCACCTGCACAGCAGGAGTCTGGCTAGCCAGGGGCCTGGAATCCTGCAGGAAGCTCTAGCAGGCGTCAGTGGACACTTGAATGCTCAGGAAAGAGCTGGACCCCCTTATACACAGTATGACTGTGTCTAACTAATCGCATGTATATCAAAGGCCACATTAAGTTCTTTCAATGAGAAGAAAAGTCTTCAAACTTGCTGATGTGTAGACTATTTCTAGGAGGACACATAGGAAATTAGTGGTGACTCTCATTCTTGGTGTCAGGGACAGAGGCTTCATCCTCCATGTGACTGCCATTCTGCCTGAATTTGTCAACTTTTTGTTTTTTATCAGGACCGTTTATTACTTTTGTTATATACATGTACATAAAGTTTAAGAAGGAAAAGAGTAAGCACCTTGAGGATTCCAGTCACTTGAATATAGCAAATTAGGTCATGCATTTTAATCTTTCTTCTTAGAATTTGTGTTTAAGGTCTAGTGATTTTCTGATTTTTCTTTTCTTCATCAAATATCTGCTAGGTTCTTCCCGCAAAGAGATCACAAAACATTGGGAATGGCTGGAAAATAACTTGCTCCAGACGCTGTCCATCTTTGATAACGAGGAAGATATCACCACCTTCATCAAGGGCAAGATACATGTAAGGCTCATGTCCGGCTAGCAGCTCTCATTCCCCTTCTCTGGCTGGCGGTGCTCACGTCTGTCACCTTGTTTATTTTATTTATTTATTTTTTTTGAGACAGAGTCTCACCTTGTTGCCCAGGCTAGAGTGAGTGCCGTGGCGTCAGCCTCGCTCACAGCAACCTCAGTCTCCTGGGCTCAAGCGATCCTCCTGCCTCAGCCTCCCGAGTAGCTGGGACTACAGGCATGCACCACCATGCCCGGCTAATTTTTTTGTATATATATTTTTAGTTGGCCAATTAATTTATTTCTATTTTTGGTAGAGATGGGGTCTCGCTCAGGCTGGTTTCGAACTCCTGACCTTGAGCAATCCGCCTGCCTCGGCCTCCCAAAGTGCTAGGATTACAGGCGTGAGCCACCGCGCCCGGCCTTGTCACCTTGTTTAATCTTCAGCCAGCACAGTGTAGAGCAGGCTGTTCTCTCCCCTGCAAATTGAGAGTGATAATACTTGCTCACATTTATGGAGTACTTTACATATGCTTACTGTGCTTAAGTGCTTTATGTTCAGAGGACTTGTTAAGTCGTATATAGCATATTTAATGGCATATTTTACAGCAATTAAAATAATGATTATGAGAATTACAGCAAAGTGTAAAAGCTTACAACATGATGACATTGAGTTTGGTTCCTCTTTGAAGGGTAATTAACACTGTATGAGGGTTTATCTGAATGTATAGGTTTGTGTTTGTTTCTGTTAGATTAATGCCTTAAGTTAGATTCCTGGGAGTGCTTTTACTAGATCAGTGTTTCATGACACAAATTTGCTTTGGTAGGCCCTTGTGAATTCATTATATAATACCAGAACTTCATAGACCTAGGCAGATGGTGCCAAGTTTCTCAGCTTTGCCGTGTACACTTTGGGGTTCAAGCAGGACCTGTGCTATTTCTGTCTCTGGAGAAACATAGGCAGGGAGGACAAGGCGAGCCTTCCCTCTCCTGTGAATAAGCTGCGCACCAGTAGTGGTAGCGGCGACTGCTCCAGCCTCCTGTGTATAGGCCAGACCCAAACGAGCTAATCAGCAACAGAAAAGGCCTGAATGACTCATGGGGCAAAGAAGAAATGGAAATTAGAAGACATTTAGAACCATAATGGAAGTACCACTCCATGTCAGAATTTGTGGGAGGTGCACAGAGGAAATTTAAAGCCAGTTAAAGCTTAAAGAAGAAGAAAGAACAGAACAAACGAGCCAAGTGTCAAGCTCAGTAAGTTAGAAAAATAACTCCAGAGAAACCAAGAAAGTAGACAGAAGAAAATCACAATGGGCTGAAGTTAATTCCATGGGACACAAGAGAACAACAAAGAAGAACGAGTCCAAAAACATAAGCAGATCTGTGGCAGATCGAGATAGAGCAGGGAGCCTCGCGTGCCCAGGGCTGGAGACGTGAGCAGCGCCTGTGAGGAGCAGAGCTCTACGCAGAGAGAGAGAAGACCATAAAAAGCTTTATGGCCGTAAATTTAAGAATTTAGACAAAATGGGCGCTTTACTAGAATAATGTGTATTAGTTTCCAATTGCAACTGTAATAAGTTATCATAAACTTAGTGATTTAAAAGAACACAGGCCAGGCGCGGTGGCTCACGCCTGTAATCCTAGCTCTTGGGAGGCCGAGGCAGGCGGATTGCTCAAGGTCAGGAGTTCAAAACCAGCCTGAGCAAGAGCGAGACCCCGTCTCTACTATAAATAGAAAGAAATTAATTGGCCAACTGATATATATATATAAAAAAAAATTAGCCAGGCATGGTGGCGCATGCCTGTAGTCCCAGCTACTCGGGAGGCTGAGGCAGGAGGATCGCTTGAGCCCAGGAGATTGAGGTTGCTGTGAGCTAGGCTGACGCCACGGCACTCACTCTAGCCTGGACAACAAAGCAAGACTCTGTCTCAAAAAAAATAAATAAATAAAAATAAAAGAACACAAAATATTACCTTACAATTCTAGAGATCAGGGGCCTGGAGTGGGTCTCATCGGGCTAAGAGCAAGGTGTGGGCAGGGCCACGTTCCTTCTGGAGGCTGTAGGGGAGAGTCCTTGCCTGGCCTTCTCCAGCTTCTAGAGGTGCCTGTACTCCTTGCTTCTCGGCTCCTCCTTCATCTTCACGCCAGCAGTAGCGTCTTCAGCCTCTCCCACTCTCCCTATGTCTGTCTCCCTCTCTTGTCATCTCCCTTCTGTGACTCAGACCCTCTTGCCTCCCTCTTTATAAGGACCTTTGAGCTTCCACTGGGCTCACTCAGGTTATCCAGGATCATCTTCCCTTCTCGAAACCCTTAATCACATCTGCAAGGTCCCTAATCACATCTATAAACAACTGCTTTTGCTAAATAAGGTAACATATTCTCCCAGGTTCTGGGAATTAGGAAGTGGACATCTTTGGGGAGCCGTTGTTTGGCCTACCACATAATATAACTTACTTAAACTGAGGCTCAGGAAGAAATAGGAAACCTAAAAATGCCTAAAACTATTAAAGAAATTGAATCCATATTTAAACTTCTACCCGGAGATTTTTATAGGTGGGGGTTCTACCCACCAACAGACAGCAAGTCCCAACTGTGAGCCAGGCTAGTCAGTTTCCAGTGGTGGGGGTGTCATTCTTGGGTAGAGGCTGGACAGTGACCAAAGGCTTGGGGCTGGGGAGTCCCCAGTGGAGAATGCAGAGGGAAGAATGGAGCAGCCACGCTCAGCCCCATGCTCCCTGTGTGGGGGTCTCTCAGGTGCTACTGAAGGGGGCGAGGTAGCGGCAGGGTGGCTGAGACCAGGAAGGTGGCCCAAGGGCAAGGCAGTTGTGGTGGCGGTGGGCTCGGACCTTACTGCCGAGAGGGCTGACCTACTGTGGCTGTCCAGGGCTGCCCTGTGCTCTCCACCAGCCTCCTGACTCTATAGGACCAGGGGCCACAGAAAACCAAGGCAGGACCTTAATGATGAGGAAGGTGCCAGAGCCCTTTCCCAGACAGAGAGCTAGTTTCTGTAGGAGCATTCCAGGGGGCCCAGAGGCGGGTTGAGAGAGGAGGTGTTCACATTGCAGCCCACTGGTGCTGGTGTAGGGAAGAGAGACCTTTTCTCCTCCCCGTTTAGGTTCCTGGCTGGGGCTCTGTAACAAAAGACAGATTGACAAGAGAAAAACAGAAATAACACTTGCATCTCATATATTCCTGGGAGAAACTCAGGGATGGGTCACTCAAAGGTTTGCTTAGAACTTGGGCCGTTGATACAGCACTTTAACAAAGGAACGGTCAAGTCAAACAGAAATGACAGGAAGAGGGAAAGGGCTCAGCCCTCCAAGGGGCCCCTCTGCCCCTCTGCCCGCTCTTGGGCCTGCCCAGGAGCATGCTAGAAGCCAGGCCCTCTTGCCTTCCTCCAGGGCATCATCGCAGAAGAGAACAAGAACCTGCAGCCCCAGGGAGATGAAGACCCGGGGAAGTTCAAGGAGGCGGAGCTAAAGATGCGGAAGCAGTTTGGGATGCCTGAGGGCGAGAAGCTGGTCAACTACTACTCCTGCAGCTTCTGGAAGGGCAGAGTGCCCCGGCAGGGCTGGCTCTACCTGACAGTCAACCACCTGTGCTTCTACTCCTTCCTGCTAGGGAAGGAAGGTGAGCACCTCCAGGCCGCTGTCACCCTCAGCCCCACCACTCCCTCTCGGCCCCCGACATATGTCCCCACATGGCCTCCAAAGGGGTCTCCCTGGAACCCATAAGCTACTTAGCTCCGCAGGGCCTGCTGTATACCTCCTCCTGGCAGGCTCTGACTGTGCCCGCCGCCCACTGGCGGGACTCTCCCACGTGACCTTATTTGCAGGCCTACCCTCTTCTAAGCTGGTGCGTTCGGGCACACATCTGCCCTGAGTGATCGTTCTAGGTCGTGCAGTGCCTTGGGCACAGCCTCACCCAGAAAGGGGCCCCAGCACCATGATCCCAAACCCAGCAAGCCTGCCTCCCTCAGCGCATAGCCTCCTTGTGCCCCTTCCTGCCTCTGCCATTCACCTGTCAAGGCTGGTGACCAGTCGCCTCCCTGCCAGCAGAGACTGGCATCCTCTGTGCTGGTCACCCCATGCTGTGACCGTTCACACATTGGTGTGCTCCCGTTGGTGGAGCTGCTCGGGCCTCTGTCTCAACCAGTTCACCTGTGCACATTCATTCTTTTCACTTTCAGCCTCGGGTGAGGCAGGCATTCACCAAGGGTGATTGGTCTGGGAGGCAGTGGCCATCCTGATGGCCCATGCCCTTCTCATGGAGCTCGTGTCCCAGCATAGCCGGGCCCAGGTCCCGAGGGGCACACAGGAAATGCTGCCTCTGAGAGCGGCTCACCCGGGGTGGTCCTGGGTGCGGATGGTCGGGAGCCCCACCTTACCTGGTTCTGATCAGTGGCGTGTCTATTCCTGTGGGCACCCAGTGAGCCTCGTGGTGCAGTGGGTGGATGTCACAAGGCTGGAGAAGAATGCCACACTCCTCTTCCCTGAGAGCATCCGTGTGGACACCCGTGACCAGGAGCTCTTCTTCTCCATGCTCCTCAACATCGGTGAGACCTTCAAGCTCATGGAGCAGCTGGCTAACCTGGCCATGAGGCAGCTACTGGACAGCGAGGGCTTCCTGGAGGACAAGGCCCTGCCCAGGCCCATCCGGCCACACAGGAACATCTCAGCTCTGAAGCGGTGTGTTGCCCTCTGGAGGTGGGAGGGCACCAGACTCACGGGCTTTCCACTCGGGAAGGAGGCCCAGTCAGCAGATCACTGCAGCACTGTGTGGGGAGGCAACAAGGGACATTAGTGATAAGCATGCCGCCAACGTGGAGGACGCTCTTTATACCTTATGTTTCACGGCCCCATGATGAGAAGGTGCTTGGGAAGGAACCTGAGGCACAGAGAGGTGAGGTCCCTTAGCTGGTGAACAGTGCAGCTGGGATGTAACCACCTGGCCAGGCATGCTCGGGGTACTCTGGGCTTGGGGTGCACAGCCTCTACCCCACCGTGATTGACAGCTCTCCTCAAAACCCCTTGGCCAAAGAACCCTTATAGGCCTCTAGGGCCTGAAGCCAGCAGGGGAGACAGGCCAGGTGCAGGTCTCAGGTTATCACTGCCCTGTCCCTTGGGATTGGTAAACAAAGGAATGGATCATGGTGCTATCCCCTCCAGATCACTTCGGTTGGAGCTCCTAGGTTATAGCTTCATGGGAAACCTGCAAGGCTGGCCGAGGTCTCAGAGGTTCCCTGGGCTCCTGGGTCACTCAATCAGGGTGGGCATCACCAAATTTACACTGTTCAGAGACCTCACCCCCACCAGGCATTTCATGGCTTGTACCCACAGGCTCGAGTGTGCCTTCAGGACCAGAACATTGTGCAAGGACATCACCCTTGTGATGACAGTGACAGGGTGGCTTGTCACCTTTTAGAAGGAAAACAAGCAGGGCTGGAAATCGACAGTATCTGGCACTGTTGGTCAGGGTGGGTGGTCAGGCTGCTGGCAGCCCAAGGTGGGTGGGATGCTCCCTTGGGGGCTGGGAGAGGTTTATGGGGACAGAACCACTGAAAAGTTAAGGGCGGTGCAAGGCCGCCTTCACAGCCATCAGACTTCCCATGTACATCTCCATGAGCAGCAGGCACCGTGTTGTAGTTTTAGCTCCTCACCTCCCTATTGAGCACGGCTCGTCCCGGCTTCAGGGTAGCGTCGGGCCTCCCTACTGCGGAGAAGCCCCAGGGCCTGCAGCATGCTCTGTCTGAGCTGGCAAGTGCAGGGGTTCTGGGCACTACCCGCCCTGTGGTACCAGGGAAGGGTCATACACTGCCCAGGTCAGCCTCCAGGCCTGTCCAGAGCAGTCAGGTCTCCAGGGCATGCTATTTGCTAGTCACTTCTCTGCTAGTCATGTGAACATCCCATGTTCTACTTAGTCATTTAACATGTGTCTTTTATTGAATGCTAAGATCCCTGGGCATGACTTGCTCACGGAAAAGCCCTAAAGTTCCTGAATCTAACGTGGAAACCAAGGCCCGAGGAGGCCCTGAGCCCCCTTGAGGGTGTACTGGCGCTGGCTCTTGTCCCCTTTCCTTCCAACCCCCCACCTGTTTCCCCAGAGACCTGGACGCCCGAGCCAAGAACGAGTGCTACCGGGCCACGTTCCGGCTACCCAGGGATGAGCGGCTGGATGGCCACACAGGCTGCACCTTGTGGACGCCGTTTAACAAGCTGCACATCCCTGGCCAGATGTTCATCTCCAACAACTACATCTGCTTTGCCAGCAAGGAGGAGGATGCGTGCCACCTCATCATACCCCTGAGGGAGGTGAGCAGCCTGGGCGGTCTTGTGGCACTCAGTGACGGGACACACAGAAGGTCTGTGGTCAAATGAAACCCTCCCCAAGCACCTGCCCTCTGCTGGAGGCTGGAGCCATAGCAGGGTGGGTGGGGGTGCCCTGGTTGCCCCCTCAGGGAACCCTCACCTAGCGGAGAGACAGAGCAGTGGAGTTCTGGGAGAGCTCCTGCTGGGACGGGAGGAACTTCAGGAAGGACCCATGCTTCTTTGGTCAGAGCTCGGGGCCTCCCGTGGGTGAGTGTCCATTTGTCCTGCCTTCCAGGCCTTGCAATTGAATTTTGGCAAATTCTTGCTCCTTGTCTGGGCTTAGAGGACCCTGTCCCTGAGCCAGTCCCACCACATCACTCAGAGGCCACCTGACCAAGTCCTCCCGTGTGGCTGCCTTGGCTGTGGCTCAGGCTCCAGCAGAGCTGTGGGGGTCAGCTCTTACCTGTTGGGAATGCTCTTTCTTGGGTTTCCTGGGCTTCCACAGTGAACCTGGTGGAAACAAGGCCGTCTGTCCTGAGCTGCAGTGGAGGGGTGTGGATAGCCAGGGACCCTCCTGGACAGAAGGTACTGACAGGTCTCAGGGCTTCCTCATGGCCCAGCAGAGCAGTGGCTGTTTTTAATTATATGAAGCACAGTGAGGTTCTTAAGTTAAAACTTAAACCACAGTATTTTAATTATATTAAAAACCTAAAGCAATGACATCTCCCTGGCATTTGCACAAAGCCCCCAAGTTGCAGGTGTAGCTGTAAATAGATGTGGGAGAATATGCTGCCTCAGTTTCCCCAAGGTAAGTTAGAGGCAAAGGCTCAAAAGAACTATAGATCCAAAATCTCCAGGTTGAGAGGCCCAGACGTGGTCCCGACCCAACCTTCTCTTGGCACCAGGGCTCAGTAAGTCTGTCCTAGGTGCTGTGCTGACTCAGCTCCGAGATCTCGGGGTGGGCCAAGGAGTCGTCTTGACACCTGAGGCCCCAGATACATTTTTCCTGCTGGACCCTTGACGTCTGAGTGGCAGAGAACTCTGGCCAAGCTGGGGAAGCAGGACCGGCTCACTGGAGGGTCAAGCCCTGCTCTTGCGACACACCTCAGCAGTTGGCCTGCGTGGAGGACAGTGCTTGAGCCAGCACTGACCGTCCCGAACACGCCTGCTCTCAGTCCAGCCAGCGGGGCTCACAGGCGTTTTCCCCTGTTGCCAGCTCCATTGTGTGACTAGTGGACTCTTCAGTTTCCTCCCAACCGTGCCCTTCCCATGCTCACCCAGGAAAGGACGGCTCCAAACTTTGGCTGAGGTGGTCAGCCTCCCGATCCCCCCACCCAACCAAATGGCCTCCCACCTCCTCCTCATCCCCACTCCCTGCCCACTGCCCCTCCCTCCCTCCTCATCCCCACTCCCTACCCACCTTGGCCCCTCCCTCTCATGATTCCCCACTCCCTACCCCACGTGCCCCTCCCCTCCCTCCTCATCCCCGACTCCCTACCCACTGCCCCTCCCCTCCCTCCTCATCCCCCACCCCCTACCCAGCTGGCCCCTCCCTCCCGTCGCTGATCCCACTCCCGTACCCCACTGCCCGCCTCCCTCCCTCCTCAGTCCCACTCCCTGCCAGCTGCCCTCCTCCTTCCTGATCCCCAATCCCTGCCCACTGCCCCATCCCTCGCGCCGCTCCGTCATCCCCACTCCCTACCCACTGCCCCTCGCCCTCCTCCCTCATCCCACTCCCTACCCACTGCCCTCGCCTCCTGCCTGTCATCCCCACTCCCTACCCACTGCCGCCTCC